CTTCTCATACTGAGCAAATAATTAGACAAAACAAGTGACTGACAGGCCACAACCACTTGCCCAGCCAGATGGCCACACTCTAGTCTTCTGCCTCACTTCCGAAAGAGAAGCTGTTTTGGAATTTGTTGTGTGATTGAGAAATAATGTATTGTTGAATCTCTGAAATCTATTCCTTGATCTCATAAGGTCAAGTCTATTATACACAATGGTTTGCATTTGATGTGTATAGGCTGCCCTTCTCCAATGTTGAATTCCATTGTCACTTTTAACTTTATATTAGCTGAGTTCTGGAGAGAACATTAGAGAATTTTTTATGGCAGTGATTCTCAAACTCCTATTAATGGGTAGTGCTGGTACAAAACATCTAGTTCTATATATGGTAAGCCTTCCTTCCCATGATATTTGAGACTTTTCTGGTTTATCACTGAATGCCCTATATCCCAGAAAACTCTTTAGTTCCAGGCAAACTGGTATGGTTGCTCACTCTAGACATAAATTAAATATGGATAATGAGTTCTTTTCTAGAGTTGAAAGTACTTAATTTAAATTTGGAAAGACAGTGAGTTATCCTATAGCTGAACACAGTTAAACTAAATTTTGTGATTCTGCCTTTTTACGTCCTGGCTTTAAGATATATTATGTACAGGTACAAATTCCCTATAATGAATGTGATCAATATGAATGACAAGTATGTACTAACAGAAAAATAAAGTTTAAAAAATTAAAAAACAATTAAAAATGAAATTATGGTGAGTGAGTGGTAGTATTACAGTTTAATAGCCTTATTTATCACAGATGAAGTCAACTTTGTGTCCAAATCCTTCTCCCTTTTGCTATCATATTCTAGGCACCACTCATAAATATAATCCCTTCCTCTTTCTTATATTCTACACCCATCTATTGGTTGTCATATTGAAAGTTTTGATCTTAGGGTGATTATAACCATGTGGGACATATGGAATTAGTTTAGACTACAGAATGTTGTACTTGAGGTAGTTAATGCTCTTGTACTGCTAGTTTGCACAGTATTTCTGTAGAAATCGGCCGTCCTTCTACCTTGCATATCTTTCCCTCTAATCTTTGCCCATCCTTAAAGATTTTTTGAAATCCTGAATGGGAATCCGTGGAGACTTTTAATTATAATACTGTGGAGAAGGTGATGTAATTCTACAGGGATAATTCTATGCGAGAAGCCTGCCAACCAAAGAGAAGTGGAAAATGACGGCTCTGTCACTGAATCACTGTGTATCTTTGAGCAAGTCACTTGCCTTACTCTCAGTTTGCTCATTTGTAAATTGAAGGATAATACCTTTCTTAACAACCTAAGAAGAAACACATGAACAGAGGACAGAACACACGAAAAAATGGATTCAGAAGGGATTGTGTTGATGTAGTCAATAGCTGCTTATCAGCTTTTTTTCTCTTCTCCTCTAGCCTGGGCTTCTTTATCAGGAAATAAGTCCATAACAGAGGGCTGCATGTGCTTTTCATAATCTTACAAACTCCAATATGACAAGCAGAAGGATTACCTCATTGCTGCCAATCATACCTGCTTTCTAACAGCAATTACTCAAAACTAGTTCCACTTCTCCCCCTGTTGGCCTTCAATCCCTCATCATCTCTCTCTCTCATTTCCCCAACCAACAGGCACAAAATCTCATTTCCAGGGGACCAGCTAAGGGCACTTTCTTCTCAAACCCTAGCATTCCAGAGTAAGCACCTGCAATTTATGATCTCTGTTCCCTTCCTGCCCAAAACATATAGCACAAAACACATATGTATCAAGAGAGGAGTTGTGGCAGAGTGAAAAAAGAGCATTATACTAAGAATCAAATAATTGGGCTCTGGTTTGGCCAGTGTACCTCACTAGCTATTTACCCTTGAGTAAAGGACTTCCTCTCCATATTCCCACTGTAAAATGATTAGGAGGTGGGGTTAACATTGTGTAGCAGCAAAGATTTGGCCTAGGAATCTGCAGATCATGTTTCTGGTTCAGGTGTTGCTGCTTTCTGTGACTGAGGAAAATCACTTCCTTCTTTATTGGGCCAAATTCCTCCATATGTAAAATAAGAAGGTTGGATTAGGTGATTCATTAAGGTCCCTGCCAGACTGAAAATTGGATGATTCTATGGAAAGGGTTTCATTAAGCAAACATGAATTGTAATGACTACTCTGTGCCAGGCACCATTTGATAGTGCTTGAGAAAGGGCTTATGGCTGTGCCCCTGAATACAACTGTTGCTTGCTCCTGATAGTGTCCCAAACAGGCAATATCTTGGCTCCATACATCTAGTTCATGCACTTCCCCTGCTTTGGGCCTCCACTATTCTACCTCCCCTCCATATTATTACCTGTAACTTTCAAGAGTGCTGATGAATCATGAAGTTTCTGAAACATACTGCAACATCTGGCTGCTGGACAGTGTGAAGAGACAACCCACAATGTGGGAAAAAATCTTCACCTGCTCTTCCTCAGACAAAGGTCTACTATCTTGAATCTATAAAGAACTTAAAAAGATCAGACCTCCCAAATTTAAAGAACCAATCCAAAAATGGGAATCTGAAATGAACAGACATTTCTCAGACAAGGAAGTAGAAAGAAAAAAAAAACACAAAAAAAAATGCAAAACAACACGGCACACGAGAGAGACAAAAAAAAAAAAAACGCAGATTCCACCTCACTCCAGAAAGAATGGCTGCTATCATGAAATCAACCAATAACAAATGCTGGCGGGGCTGTGGGGAAAGAGGAACCCTGCTCCACTGCTGGTGGGAGTGTAGTCTGGTGCAACCACTGTGGAAATCAGTATGGAGATACCTCAAAGAACTAGGACTGGAAGTCCCATTTGACCCTGCTATTCCACTGCTGGGGATCTTCTCCAAAGAATTAAAAGAATCATACCACAGTGATATATGTGCACCCATGTTCATAGCAGCACAGTTTGTAATAGCTAAAACTTGGAAACAGCTCAAATGTCCATCAGCTGGAGACTGGATAAAGAAAATGTGTTTTTTTAAAATAAAATGGAGTACTACTCAGCCATAAAAAATGAGAAATTAGAGACATTTATAGCTAAGTGGATGCACATTGAGGTGATAGTCTTTAAGTGAAGTAAATAGGACACACATGTATAAATACTGAACAGTTTCTCTGGTGTGAGAAACTGAAAGTGTAAATAAGGACTAAATGTATAATAGGTAATGTGAAATAGGAAGAAAAGGGGCAAAGGGGAAGGAAGTGGGAGGGGTAGGGGAAAGGAAAGAAGGGTATGGAATTAATATGAGAAAATGGAAAAATAGGAACAAAATCTTTGTAAATAGGGAGGAATGGAGGGGTTGAAGGGAGGGCTGGGCAAGGGTGAAAAATAAGAACCAAGAGAGATTATGTAAAGGTGAAAATTTCCAATGATGAATGTCATTATATTATATACCTAAAATGTACCAATGATTAGAATGAATAATCAATAATGTAAAATAGGAAGAAAAGTTCCAAAGGGGTAGGGGTAGTGGGAGGGGCAGGGGAAAGGAAAGAAGGGAAAGGAAAACTGCTGAGAAATGGAAAAAATGGAAATAAAATCTTTGTAAATAGGGAAGGGTGGAGGGGGTGAAGGGAGGGCTAGGAATGGGGAAAAAATAAGAACAAAGATGCATCATGAAAGGTACAAGTTCCCAAAGAGAAATGTAATTGTGTTGTATACCTAAAATGTACCAATAAAAGAATTTAAGAAAAAAAAACCATCTGGCTGCTGGAGACATTCATGGTGCTGATGTCAGGCTACAATGGGTTTCTAGCTACCCTAATAGAGAAACTGACCAGAAAACAAAGGCAGATTAATGGATTGCGGGAAGGTGGTTGGTTTTTGACAGAGGACTTTGTGAAAACCATTTGTGAGCTGGGGCAAGAAGACTAAATCTAGAAAGTCTCTTAGCATATTGAATCTGAGATTACTTATTCTTGGAATTTGAAGGGTCCTAACAGCTCTATGTTTCTGCAGCAAGGCAAGGAGTGCCTGATCCTGATCTATTTCATGGAGGGGAGAAGCATTCTTAACTATAGTCAGCAAAGGACAAGGAAGCTTTTCTTAGTAGTCAGTCTAGATTTAACTGCCACGATTGGAAAATTGCCTCCCATTTCAATTGTAAGTGACTAAACAGTGCTCTTTCAGTGATAGGTATATGGTACAACATTAGGCACCTTTTATTGCCTTCTTACCTCCTCCCTTTTTCTGTAACTGGGGATTGAACCCAGGGCCTTCACACTGAGTCCTTTTAAAATTATTTATGTTGTGACAAGGTCCCACTAAGTTGCTAAGTTGCCCATGCTGGCCTAGAAGTTGTGATCAGCCAGGCATGCATCACCACACCTAGCTTATTCTCCCCATTTCAACTTGGCCCAATACATCCCAGTGAAAAGCCCACATTAACACATTGTTGAACATCCTAAGTCAAATGGAAATGTCCTGGAACTCCATGGTGATCACGCCTGCCTGCCCTTTATCTCTTCTTTAGGATCAGGCCTGTGAATTTTGCATCCTTTTTCACTCTCTGAAAACAACTTTGTTCTTGACATTCTCATTATATTGCCTCCCTCCAGGCCTCTGAACCAGCAAGGCCATTCAGCTGGAATCTCCAGGGATTCTTGCCACATCCTTGTTTTCTCTCTCCCCTTTTTGATGCTGTATGTCAAAAGTTATAAGCTGGTTGATCAGACTGCCTGTGAATTGGCTGATCAATCACTAATTCAGCCCTGTGGTTTTTCTACTGCAGCTCAATGACGTTGAAACTTTGATCCAGGCAGAAGGAAAGGAAGCTGGGAAGCAGAAACTTATAGGACATCAATGGTTTTCAAGACAATAATATCCAGAAGCAAGGGCCACGTGATGTAAAAAATGAACCCCAGGACTGGCCAACTAGATGAAAAATAGGCCCGTGGAGCCTACAGGGTAACTTTTTGATTTGGTGCTCTACCCATCTCCACATCCTTGCAGAGAAACTAGAGACCATGAGGAGCAGCCTGACCTTGGTGGGGACCCTCTGGGCCTTCCTGTCTCTTGTTACTGCTGTGGCCAGTTCTACCAGTTACTTCCTGCCTTATTGGCTCTTTGGATCCCAGCTGGGAAAGCCAGTGTCATTCAGCACATTTCGGAGGTGCAACTACCCAGTGCGAGGAGAAGGGCACAGTCTGATCATGGTGGAAGAATGTGGGCGTTATTCTAGCTTCAGTGCCATCCCAAGCCTGGCCTGGCAGATGTGCACAGTGGTGACAGGTGCCGGCTGTGCCCTACTGCTTCTGGTAGCACTGGCTGCTGTCCTTGGCTGCTGCATGGAGGAACTCATCTCCAGAATGATGGGACGTTGCATGGGAGCAGCACAGTTTGTGGGAGGTAAGACTGTGTCCCTGGAATTGAGTAGGCTTAGGAGTTTGGGGCAAGGAAGGCGGCAAGTATGGCCTTAGGCAGAGATCTACTCTCTCTCTGTCCTCTATTTTGTCCAATTCCAAGGCTATGGATAAGGACTTTTTGGATTTACCTAGCCTAGCACTTTCCAAAGTGTAACCTAAATCAGAGTTTTGTTCATAGAAAAATTGGCCAGGAAGGCAGAGTTGATCTCTATTGCTTAGCCTCTATTTTTATCACCTGCAGGTGCCCATTCAAGCATATTATGCAAAAATTGGACTCAAAGCAGAAGAGAAGAGAATAGTGGTCATTAGAGGCTAGTGAGATAGAGGGAGGTTGGATAATGAGTAACAAAATACATTTAAGTTGGAGGAATAAATTCTAGTATTCTACAGCAGAATAAGTGACTATAGTCAACTACAATTTGTTATATATAAGAACCTAGAAGAGAGGAGTTTAAAGACTCCAATATAGAGAAACTTAAATGCTTAAGGTGATGAAATTCTAATTACTCAGATTTGATGATTATATATACATATATATACACACATATATACATATATGCATATATACATATATATGTACCAAATTATCAGTACCCCATAGATATGTGTAATTATGAGTTGTGATGAAAAATATGGAGACTGTTTAAATAATATTTATTACAGTTAAAGGCATATTACCATTTTAATCCCCCTCAAAATATTCTCCCTTACTTTGAACATCTGTTCTTGCCACTTTCTGAAGCACTTCTGGAGGTCCCCTTTTGTGAGGATCTTTTCCTTAATAAATTCAAAACATTTATCTTTCATGGCCATTTTTACTTCAGGGAACAGCCAGAAGTAATGTAGTGCCAGATCCAATGAATACAGAGGGTGAGGACATATCGTAATGTTATTAGGAGCCTGCCTTTCTTTTCAATGGTCCTTAGCAATGGAATTCACTGTGCTTTTAGTCACACCTTGAAGTAAAGGAAAGTCTTTTATGGGGAACTAATGACAATGTGTCTTTTAAAAAATTAATTTTATTGGTACATTTTAGATACATAATGATAATATTCACCAGAGGGAATTTGTATCTGTACATGATATATCTTGATTCTCCTTTTTCCTCATTCCCCTCCCCTCCCTTCAAATCCTCTTCTCCTATTTATTTTAAAAAGTGTTGTTCCCATTTTTTCCTTCTCTTCTCTATTTTTATTTTCCCATTCTTCCTTTTCTCATCCCCCCTCCCTAGTTTCCCTTCCCATTTGAACTTTTTCTTCCTGTTTCACAATATCTATTATAAATTTATGTCTTTATTTAGCCTTTCAGTTTCTCATACCAGAGAAACAATGTAATATTTAAACATTTGTGTCTGATTTATTTCACTTAAGAGTATGGTCTGAAGGTGCATCCATTTAGTGTGAAATGTCCCAAGTTTATCCTTCTTTATGGCAGAGTAGTATTCCTTTGTATAACAATACCATATCTTCTTTATGATTCATTGGTTGATGGATATTTGGGCTGTTTCCAATATTTAGCTATTACAGACTGTGCTGGTATAAGCATGAGTGTGCATATAACGTTGTGGTATGATGGTTTTAATTCTTTCAAGAAGATACCAAGAAGGGTAATAGTTGGGTCAAATGCAATCTCTAGTTTTAGTTTTTGAGGAATCTTCAAACCAATTTCCACAGTGGTTGCACCAATCTACACTCCCAACAATACTGGACATGGAATCCTTGTCCCCACAGCCCCACCAGTATTTTTTATTGGTTGATTTCTTGATAGCAGCCATTCTTTCTGGAATGAGGTAGAATCTCAGCATTATTTTAATTTGCAACTCTTAAATGACCAGTGATATTGAACTTTATTTCATATATTTATTTGCTATTTCTACTTTTTCAACTGAGAAGTGTCCATTCATTTCAGATGCCCATTTTCAGATTGGGCCTTTAAATTTGGGGGGGGGAGGCTTGGGTTTTTGAATTCTTTATGTCTTCTAGGTATTAATCCTTTTTCTGAGGAACAGCTGGCCAAAATATTTTCCCACTCTGTGGGTCATCTCTTCACTCTGTCGGTAGTTTCCCTTGCTGTGCAAAAGCTTTCTAATAGGGTGAGATTCCAATTATTGATTGTTTGTGATATTTCCTGTACAATCAGGGTTTTGTTCATAAAGTTGTTGCCTACACCTATGACTTTAAAGTTCTACCTATTCTATCTTCCAGCAGATTTAGTGTTTCTGTTTTTATATTTAGATCTTTGATCCATTTAGATTTTAGTTTAGTGCATGGTGAGAGGCATGGGTCTAGTTTTAGTCTTTGGCATGAGAAAAGCCAGTTGTTCCAGCACCATTTATTAAAGAGGCTATCTTTCTTACAGTGAGGGTGTTTGGCCCCTTTGTCAAAGATAAGGTGGCTGAGTATGTCTGAGGTTATTTCTGCATCTTCTAATCTGTTCCATTCATCCTCAGGTCTGTTGTTTTGCCAGTACCATGATGTTTTTATGACTGTAGCTTTGTAGTATAATTTCAAGTCAGGGATTTTGATGACCACTTGCCTTGCTGTTGTTGTCTAGAATTTTTTCACTATTCTAGGTCTCTTCTGGTTCTAAATGAATTTTTGGATTGTTTTCTCTAATTTTGTGAGGTATGCTATTGGTATTTTGTTTGTGATGGCATTAAATCTGTATAACAATTTTGGGGATATCATCATTTTTACTCTGTTGACTCTTCCTACCCAAGAGCAAGGGATATCTTTCCATTTTCTGATATCCTCTTTGGTCTCCTTTTTCAGGATACTGTAGTTTTCAATGTAAAATCTTTTACTTCCTTCATTAGAATGATTCCTAAGTATTTCCTTTATTTCAATGCTATTGAGGAAGGTATGGTTTTGCTAATTTCTCTCTCAGTGATTTTGTTATGTGTGTACAGGAATCCAAATGATTTTTGAGTGTTGACTTTGTATCCAGCTATGCTGCTGAATTTGATTATTAAATCTGGAAGTTTTTTGACGGAGTTTTTGGGGTCTTCTATGTAGGGCACCATGTCATCAACAAATAATGATAATTTAAATTCTTCCTTTCCTACCTTTATTCCTTTTGTCTTGTCTAATTGCTCTGGCTAATGTTTCGAGAACTATATTGTATAAGAGTTGTGATAGTGGACATCCTTGCCTTGTTCCTTGTTTTAGAGTGATAGTTTTCATTTTGACCATTTAGTATGATGTCTGTTGTTGGTGTATCATATATGGCTTTTATCAGCTTCTCTTCCAATTTTCTGAAGGATTTTTATTATGAATAGGTGTTGGACTTTGTCAAGTGTATTTTCTGTGTCTATTTAGATGATCATATGTATTTTGTCCTTGGCTCTGTTAATATGGTAAATTACATTTGTTGATTTGTGTATGTTGAACCATCTCTGCATCTCTGAGATGAATCCCACTTGGTTAGGGCGTATGATCTTTTTCATGATTTGCTGCATTCTGTTTGCTAGTATCCTATGGAGGATTTTTGCATCTATATTCATTAGGGAGATTGGTCTATAGTTCTCTTTGTTGGTTGGATCCTTCTCGGGTTTTAGCATTAGGGTAATGCTCAATTCCAGGAATGAGTTTGGGAGTACTACTTCCCTTTCAATTTCATTGAAGAGTTTGAGGAGTAGTGGCATTAGATATTCTCTGAATTACTTGTAGAATTCAGCATTGATTCCATCAGGATCTGGGGTTTTCTTTGTTGGTAGGTTTTTAATTACTTCTTCAGTTTCATTGACTGATATTGAGATATTTCTAATTTTTATATCTTCTTGATTCAGTTTTGGTAATTCATATGTATATAGGAATCTGCGTATTTCTTGTGTATTTTCCATCATATTAGAATACATGTTCTCAAAGTAGGTATTAATTATCTTCTGGATTTCTTCAGAATCTGCTGTGATATCACCCTTTTCATTCCTAATTTCATAGATTTGAGTCTTTTCTTTCTTTTTTTTGACATGTTTGGCTAAAGATTTCTAAAATTAGTTTAATCTTTGAATAAAACAACTATATCTCATTGATTGTATTGAGACTTTTCAGTCTCAATTACATTAATTTCTGCTTTGATCTTCATAATTTCTTCCCTCATATGACTCTTTTGGGGTTGCTCTTTTTTCTTAAAGGCTTGATATTAAATATTAGGTTGTTTACTTGAGCTCAATCTCTTTTTCTGATATGAGAAGTCACTGCTATATATTTCCCCTGTAGGACTGCTTTCATTGCATCCCATAAGTTCTCCTATGGTTTATTGGCATTATCATTTGATTTTAGAAATTGTCTAATTTCTTTCATAATTTTATCTGTGACTCATTTGTCATTCAGGAGCATGATACTCAATTTCTATGTGTTTATGAAGTTTTTGTGGTTTCTTTTTCCATTGATTTCCAATTTCATTGCAGTATGAATGAGATAATTTTATTTCCTTTGCATTTACTTAAGTCTGTTCTATGAGCTAGTATGTGGTCTGTTTTGGGGAATGTCTCATGTGAAGCTAAGAAAAATCTATATTCTCATCTTGTGGGGTGGATCACTTTATAGACATCTACTAAATCCATTTAGTCAAAGGTTTGGTTCAGCTCTGATATTTCTATTTGTGACAGTGAGGTATTGAGGTCCCCCAGTATAATTGTATTAGTGTTTATTTGATTTTTTGTGTCAGTTAATATTTGTTTTATATAATTGAATGCACTAGTATTTGGTGCATATATATTTTTGAGTGTTATCTCTTTTTCTTGGATTGTTCCTTTAACAAGGATGTAGTGGATTTCTTTGCCTCTCTTGATCAGTCTTCCCTTGAGAGCCACTTTGTCTGCAAATAGCTACCCCTCATTTTTTTCCTGGTTCCTATCACATGGAGTATTTTCCACATTTTTACTTAGTCTATGAGTTTCTTTTTGAATTACATGTGTTTTTACGCAGCATATTGTTGGATATTGTTTCTTGTTCAATTTTGCTAGTTTGTTTCTTTTGATTG